AACTTTCTGTTTATATATATTGTGCATCTTATAGTAAGCTTCTCTTCAAAAATAAATCTAAACAAATTACATCTGCTTCCTTACTGGGAAGATGCTATTTCGTGAATTTCCTGTTTTAATGGCATCAAGTTGGTCTAGAAAGGAAAGAAACACTGGACCTTTGCTTGCGGCATCTCAGTCTCTGCAAATCATTGGTTTCCTTGCCTAAAATATTGCATTTTCTATATATATTAAACTATATGCACATTCACAACCCCAAGCAACCCACCACATATTTATTTACTTATTAGATTTTTTTTTATCCTGACTTTATTACTCAAAGCAAATCAAATATTACTCAAGTAACTCAATGCAACAATCATACACAATACTCCTTCCTCCTCCTATTTTCCTCACTACAACAACCCTGTGAGTTGGGCTGAGAGAGAAAGGGACTGGCCTGAAGTCACCCAGCTGACTTTCCTGCTTAAGGCAGGACTAGAACTCACGATCTCCTGGTTTCTTGGCCAACACCTTAACCACTAGAACAAATTGGTTCCAGTTATCCGAAGCATTCCTTTTATATTTATCCATAGTTACATGAAACAGTCAGAGAGACCATTTATATCCTCAATGAGTGTTTCACATCCTGAGCATTGGTCATGCCCTTGCTGTTTCTCAACCTTGGCAACTTTAATACGTGTGGACTTCAACTCCCAGAATTCCCCAACCAGCATGAGAGAATGGCTGGTCCAGCCAGCTTTCATGCCAATGGCATGAAATAGGTCAGTGGTGGCGAACCTATGGCACGCGTGCCAGTGGCGGCACTCAGAGCCCTCTCTGTGGGCACACGCGCTGTTGCCCCAGCACCACCTCCCCCCCGCTGCCCCCCTCACCAGCAGCCCCCCCCAGAGGAAGTTGCCCCCAGATGCGGCCCACTCAGAGCAGCGCAGCCAAGGACATGGCAGCCAGGCAGCAGGGACAAGACTCTGCCCTCGCACCGCATTGTGCGCAGATGATGCTGCAGGGCGCGGGCGGAGGGCATGGCCGCCATGATGCTGCAGGACTGCCTGGGCAACCTGTGGCGGGCCATGGAGGCGGAGGGTGGCCCTGAGGGCAGATAGGGCAGAGTGGGGACTGGAGTAGAGGGGAGTGGGGGGGGGCGGGGTGGTTTTTGGGCACTCGGTCTCTGAAAGGTTCGCCATCACTGAAATAGGTCAACCTATTCTCCAAAGTACCTGAAGGCAGGACAAGAAACAATGGATGGAAACTAATCAAGGAGAGAAGCAACCTAGAACTAAGGAGAAACTTCCTGACAGTGAGAACAATTAACCAGTGAAAAATATTGACTGAAGCATAAGATAAAACTATTTCTAACTCATGTTCCTTCTTTCAAATGCAGCCAGAATAAAATAGAGGATAGTAATTTATACTTTCTAGCATATGTTTTAGCCATTTAGTCATAATTAAAATTACACCTTGACTCCCCGCATGTTTTCATTAATTCTGCACCACAAAATTATACTATCTTCAATGCAGCTTATAACATTCTTCTCCCTTTGCTTAGTTCCCCAGACCCAGTATTTATCTATTTTTGTTTACAAGTAACTCTTTGCTTATGACCACAACTGGGATCAGAATTTCCGTCGTTAAGTGAGTTGCATCCAATTTCACAACCTTTTTCGCCACAATTGTTAAGTGAATCATTGCTGTTGTTGTGAATCACATGGTTGTTAAGTGAAATCTGGCTTCCCCCATGGACTTTGCTTGCTGGAGGCCACTTGGGAAGGTCGCAAATGGCGATTACATATCCTGGTGTAGGAAGTTAGCACCCACCCGCCCTCCTAGAGAGGGAAATATTTAGCAGATATTTAAAAAGATTATATTTCCCCAAAGGAATACAGTAATGGAGAAAGAAACTGCCCCCAGAAAATACCTCACAGTCTCCCCCCCCCAAACAAAAACCAGCTTTTAGAAATGCAGATTTTTTAATTCATTCAGGAAGGTTGGGGCAGGAAGGCTGGAGCTGAGGTGATTAGAAAGACAAAGACTTCTGACTTCCGGTTTGCCGCTGCGGGCGCCGCGGATGCTTGAAAAGCGAGCTCCGTCTTCCACGTCCCATTTCCCTTTGCTGGGGGACCCTGGAAAGGGTTGAAAGAGGGAAGGGAATTTCTGTTGCACCCTCTAAGAATAGCGGTGTCTGACTACCCAGGGGAATCAAAGCATTAAAAAAAACAACTTTAATCTAATTGGATTTATATATTCCTGAAACTTTGGGACCAAAATTTTTTCTATTTCTATTGGAGACTTTTGTTTTTATCTACAAAAAAGAAATAAAGTTGGAAAAAGAATTAGAAAAATTCTGGGCTTAAAAAAATCTAAATGGCATCGGTGACATCTTGTGGTGAAGCTTGGTATTACAATTTGTTATTTCCTAAAAAGAGACTTGGCTCAAAGCCCAGACCTTAGATAAGACTTTCCTGACCTTGGAGCCATCTGTGAGAGACTTAGCTGTAAGAGAACAACTGGGCAGCAAAATTGGTCTACTTGAACTGTGAATGTAAACCTTTACTGACTTTTGCTTAACAAATAACTTTTACTAAAAAGACTATTTACAAATAAGTGAAAGAGATGGATGAAGACCAGGAAAAGATTCTTTCTATGTTGAAAGCAATACATGAAACCATTCTTTCAGCTTGTGATAAAATAAGACCTAACATAAAAGACCAAGATGCCAGCTTAGATACACAAACCCAGACTTTGACTACAACCAAAGAATCAACAATGCAGAGGATAACAGAAGAAGTGGAACAATCAAATATTAAGACAGAGGACTCAATTGACCAACAAACACACCTGATGGAAAATCCAGAAAAGGAAGTGACAACACTGAAAATGGAAATGACTTTCTATATAAGTCAGAAGAAATTTGAGAAAGAAGAACAGACTGAATGGAAGACAAATATATCAGAGCAAGCATGGGCAACTGGAGTAATAGGGAGACAATTTAATGAATACAATGGGCTAGTCATTCCAAAAAACTGGCAACTAAATGGTCTCCTTTATTTCAAATAACATATATAATAATAGAGGGAGATCTATTTAACGATCTAAAAGCACTGATATGGAAGCCTAGTTGGCAAAGGATGAAAACCAGAATAAGGTTGAAGAAAATTGGGGTTTTGACTTATTAGAGGAGATTTCATATTATTAATTAGAAGGTTAAAGGGAGATGTTGAGATAAGGGGAATTTTGGTTATTAGATTTAAAATACTTGGAAATTAGTTGAAAATAAGGATTTTATCTGTTTAATATTTAAAAATTATACTTAAGAGAAAATAAATTAATTATTATAAATATTTTCATTTATTGATTAACCCAGGTAATATACATAATGGTTTTGATTTATTAAAGGGGATATTGTATTATTAAATAAATGATTTAATATGGTGGGAAATAGATAACTTTTAGGAAATAGAACAAGATTACATTCAAATAGATAAAATGTGTATTTTGAATATTATATTTTGTTATGAATTGAGACAATCTTGGTTTCCCAAAGCCTGAAAATTATAAATATCAAAGGTTAAATTGGAATGTTGATGAGAAACTAAAAAGTGGATAAAAATTAATACAAGGATATGGATTGTTTATGAAGATTGAATGTAATTAAGATATGTATAAGCTAAAATTTATTGATAAATGTAATAATGTTTTTATTGAGTTGCTATAACTAGAACTGTACTAGCTTGAATATGAGACAGTATATGTTAAGGGAAAAAGAGAAGAAATATCTGATGTGGTAACCTGAGATTTGCACTAAAGATTTTGTTATCGAACTATTGATTAACCCAGTTACCACGTTGCTTTTTAAATACCTAAATGTAAAATTGGAAAATTAATAAAATATTCTTTAAAAAAAAAGAAAGACAAAGACTTCTAAAATCTACATTCCCCACCCAGAGAAGCAGGACATGACCTTTAGGACACAGTAGGAGTAACCCACCACCATTAGAATACCAAAAGGCACACTCAGGCTCAGGTCAAAGTTCATAACACTGGAACAAGAACAATCTCAGACAGGAATAACTCCAAGCTTCAAAAGAGTCTAGCACAGCGGTTCTCAACCTGTGAGTCGTGACCCCATTTGGGGCGAATGACCATTTCACGGGGGTCGCAAACAATGCAGTCCGCCATTTTTTCCCCTTTTTCCTTAGCTGTGCTACTCCCTTTTATTCTATTGGCTTTTGAAAGCCAATAGAATAGACTCTCTTGAATAGAGTCTAATTCTATTCGCTTTCAAAAGCCAATAGGAATTGTCCAGGCTGTCTCTGCCCTGCTGAGCCCGCCAAAAGTCCCAGTCTGCAAACGGTGCTGCAAGTTGTCTGCAGCGAAGATGAGCTGTCTGGAAGCTTCCACCCCTCCCTGCTGAGCAACTACTAAAAATGTAAGTAAAAGAGGGCCAGGGGTGGGAGGTGGGAGGCCGGCGGGTGCAGGGAGGGTTGCTGGCGTGCGTGGGGCCCGGCGGGTGCCTTACTTCCCTTGGGCTGGGCCAGCTGGTGGCCCAGCCGGTGGTCAGCCTGTGCCGTCTCTGCTGCTTGCCAGTTATGCCTCGGCCGACGCAGGGGGCAGCACCACGCATGCGCAGCGCTCCCGGGCAGGGAAAGTCCTCGACTTACGACCGGTTGGGTAGTCTTCGACTTACAACCGGTTGGGAGTCGCGGCACTAAAAAGGTTGAGAACCACTGGTCTAGCAGATAATATTAAAAATATGCTCCAGGTCTAAATTTTATAATATTTTAAGAAAGAAATTTAGAGATGATTTGGTATAATATAACCTGAGCAGCTGTGGCTGAAGGGTTCATGATGCTTCTTCACTGGTGAACACTGCAAATGGGCCAGGAGTCCCAGTTTCATTAGCGTGACATTTCTCGTACCTTAATTCTTCTTTTCTTTTCCTTTTACTTACTTCCTCTTGATCCTTCATATTATGAAATCCTTTCAGTTAAGGACTTGGCTGAGCGACTGAATAATGCTTCTACCCAGGGTGTGTCAGCTTGTTAAGCTAACAGATTTGCCTTCTCCAGAATTAACCCCACATGCCACAGCTGGCACCCAGTTTCAGTAGCAGACGGGTTCCCAGCTGGCCATGAGGCAAGAACCATGGACTGGAAACTTCACTTGGTTCAATATTGTCTCAGGAACATCTTTTTCCTCTTGATGCTTTGTTTCCATATATGGATTTCAGGTAGGGCTTCTTCTTCTTTTTCTTCCAAAGGTTTTCTTCTTGAGCAATAGAAGTAGCCTATCCTGAAGGCTCTGGATGCCAATTTCCAAGACTATGTAGTTAACGCTCTCCTTTTTTTCCTCTCTGTCTATGGTGCCTTTGAGTCAGTCTTAGTAATAGTAGTAAAGTTGGAAGCGACTTTGGAGGTCATCTAGTCCAACCCCCTGCTCGGGCAGGAAACCCTACACCATTTCGGACAAATGGCTGTCCAGTCTCTTCTTAAAAACTTCCAGTGTTGGAGCATTTACTGCTTCTGGAGGCAAGCTGTTCCACTGATTAATTGTTCTCACTGTCTTAACTCCTGGCAACTACATGGGTAAGTCTACACAGCTGGGAGTGGTTCACCATTGCCATTTCTTCCTAGGGCTGAAAGAGGTGGTTTCTATGCTTAAGACAGGAGGAGAACTCAACATATGCTGGTTTCTAGCCCGGTGACTTTAACCACTATACCAAACCAGCCCTCTCCTTTCATTTGAAAGAGATATAATTAAATATTTCTACTAAAACACAAATGTGATTATGGAGAGAAAAGGAAGCTGAAAACTAAAAAGCAACTGGCATTCCTGCCACTAAAATCTAAATTGTTTAATGTACTCTTCTTATATTGCTTGGCTTTAAAAAAAAAGACAGATTTTTAAATTCTCCTTAGAGGAAATCTCTAGATTCTGGTCAGACCACATAACTCTGATGATATATTAGATTACATAGATTTGTTCTGCTCCAGTCACCACAGAAAAATAACAGTTATTCAGGGACTGGATCAGTTATCAGCCTGAAATCTGAACCTGATAGTTAAATAGTGAAGTGTTTTTAAATTTTTTATCACTGCTCACATTTATCAGTACAAAAAAAGAAGAGCTTGTACTTCGAAATATTAAATGTATTTATATAGAAATTGTATAAATGTACTACTGTACTAATGTATGTATGAAATATACATAGTATATATACCTTGTGAAATATATCTCCAAATATACATATATTCTACTGTAATATAATACTAAGTAGTATTACTGTAATGTAATACTACTTAGGACCATGTGGTTTTTTTCCTTTTCTGCTTGATTTTAATATGCTGATGAATAAGAAATAATAAATGGGAGGTTATCACATTGCCACTCTAAAGATAAGCCCTCTCTTCTTGAGAATTTGCTTAGGAAAAATTTAGAAAAGTTGTTGCGGTGGGAGGGACCTTATCAGTTTGTTTTCTGCTCAGTGAATGTTTTCGGGATGGTCACAACTGCTGTAGCAGCTACTTTATAATTTGGAGGCTTTTTCATTGTGATCATAACTCCAGATCTGCCCATCAGCTACCTACTTTTCAGTTGAGCTGCTACATTTTTCAATGTGGTGCTTCCTGTTCCTTAGTGACCTGATGTGTTTTGCCAACATTCAGACCTGTGATTTTGAGGCTTGGCCCAGATGACTTTCAGATTTGGCTTCTTTGTTTAAAACCGTGAAATTGCATCCCAGGGCATCCGCTGAGGGGTTTTTTTTTTTAAAAAAAATTAAAGATGGCATCTGCAACTATACAATTTAAGCCTACCTCCTTTTTGTATGTGCATACATCAAAGGGGTGGGGCTTTAAGTACACAATTGTGATTGTCCTCTTCGCTTTCTGAATCCTCCTATGAAATCCCTCTTGTATTAAATATATTTTTCACTTCTATCAGCCTTAGAGGCAAGCTACTAAGTCTAAGGTTAAATTGGCCATGTGATGTGTGTTTCACATACCTTTCCATATAACAAATTGGACAAAACAGTACAGAAATTAATCATCAGGTGTAATTAGAAACGGGTTTACGTTTGTGATCTGCCAAACTATTCTGGTAGTTAAGCAACAGAAACATCTAATATGTTTGGTGTGTTGGAAACAATAGTTGACAAGGATGCAGAGAAGGATAAAGAGGCAGGGTTTTTTTAATCAGAAAAAAACATATTCTTCCTCCTATTATCTTTCAAATAATGGCAGTGAAGAGTTTTCTTTAGTGACCAGGAATAGATTATTTGCCATTGTGATGGGGTGGGAGGGAAGGAAAAGGCCTGTGTGCTTCAGATTAGTTAGATGGGACTCAGTCACAGGTTTAAAGGTTTCCCCTGTCCAGCCATGGCCGACTCATCTCTGATTCTCAGCTGAGGGAGCCTTGTTGTCTGAGAGAGATGTTTCCATTACCATCAGGCCAGTGTGCAAGGACAGAACTCAGCAGCCTTCCCACCGAAGTGATACCTATTTATCTACTCGCATTTACATGATTTCAAACTGCTACCTAGGTTGGCAGGAGGTGGGGTGAGTAATGGGAGCTCACCCCGTTATGCAGCATGGCTTTCCAGCTGAGAATCCCAGTGTTTTAACCTCTGAGCCATTGCACCACCCACTCAATCACAACTATTTACAATTTGAGCCAGGGTACCCAGCAAATACGTTCTTATTGCTGAGAGTTCTGGGAGTTGAAGTCCACAGCTCTGGGAGAAAGTCCACACATTGGAAAGACACCAAGGTTAGGGAGAACTGGTATTGTACATTTATTCTCTATTCTGCCTTTACCAAATGCAATACGTATTTCTGTTTACATTTTTATCGGGGAAATTGGAAGAAGTAGCAGAGAATTGAGGAACTGAGCTGACATAATCTTTGCACCCTCTTACAATTTCTTTGCTGCGTTGGAAATCAGTAACTCTACCTTCGTATTTTCATTGTGATTTTTAGTTTATAATCAAATGAGAGTAAAGTAAATGTAGTGTTTTATAATATTAGAATAGAAATGGGTCAATAATGTTGATTATTTAATGCTGTGACTTTATCATAAAAGTGGAAGATTCCCCAGATGTCTGGTAAAAGCTGGGATCTGTTGAGATGCTTCCAGGCTTATCAAAGTCCTGAAGACTTTTGGATTTAAGGAATTGTGGTGTGGATTGGGCAACAATGTGCAGTTCTTTGGATTAGAGGGCCAAATAAAAAATCCTTCTTTTGCACAACTTGGTTTCTGGTAACTCTGTTCTGGATTTACTTTTCTCTGGGAATGCCCCAGGACCTTCTACAAGCAAACATTGGGCTAGTTGGACACATTATATTGAAATATTGTTACTCTATTAGAAAGCAATTGCCACCCAAAGAGGATTATCACATCACATAATTTCTATACACAATTCCTTAGAATATTGAAATTGCTTGGTGTACTTTATAGAAATAATCACAATCTTGAGATACCCATTCATGTTTAGGATGGACCTGGCCTAATGTATCAAGCAATTAAATTAAGTTGAGTCATGGATTCCAGCTGTAGTACACAATCTAAGATGTCCAACTTTGTCACAAATATACCAATTGCGGAGCAAGTAAAGCAGTATGCCCTAGAGGCTTTTGCCACAAACGATGTGTAGAAACCACAGGGACGTAGAGGCAGGTTAAATATTGAGAAGATTTTCCAGACAGTAAAAGGTGTCAACCAGTGCACCATGTCAATTCCCAAAATAGCGTGTTCAGTAGATATCTTCAAACAGAGATGGGATACTGATTTCTGATATTCCAACTCTGATTTTGGCCATTAGGAACAGTTCTGTAACTCTGAACAAGAAACTGCCTTGTGAATTTATTCTACATCTTGGGACTTTACAGAACAGCCCACTCCCTTTTGTATAGTATCCTGTTACATTCTTGACAAGTGCTACCAAGTCCTGCGAAGTCCTCTGTTCTCAAGACTTCACCCATCAATTTTTGTTTTGCACAACTTGGTTTTCAGCCCCTGCTCATCCTTCTTGCCCTTTTCTGGACCCACAACAGACTGAGAATAACAGTTATTTTCAAATTGTGAAAAGCATATGCTTGTTTTCAAACTTCTGTAATGCACCACTGAATCCATTGTTCATGACAGGAACTACAAGATACAAAACAGTGATTATATACTATCAGTTCTGGTTTCCATATCTGACATCCATTATTCCTCTTCCAGCTGTTTCTCCCACTTCCAAACCTCCAATGGCAACTGAATGCTTTACGGTCAACTTCATTGCAACCAATATGATCTATAGGCCGCAGATGGCTAATCCCACATCAAGGCTGTTCAACTCAACACAAAGAGTCATCAGTAAATTGGTGAGGAGACAAAGCATACTTATCCAAGTAGCATTTCTACATTAGTTTTTCATAAAATAGTCAGCAGTAGTGTTTTACTACCAACAATAAATACATGGTTTTTCCTTTAAACCTAGCTGGGACAGATATTGAATACCAACAACATTGGTCCTGAATTGATCAACTGTAGTATATCAACGTTAAGGTAAGTAATATGAGATGGAGATTTTTTCGTGCTATCTAAATGCCCTGTTATGGGGATGACTTCTCACAACATTTACAGTATTTGCGAGAACCCATAGTTTGTTTCAGTTTCAGTCTGTAGCATATCACATTTATATGCCTACCCTACAAGGTTCCATCCAAAAAAGGTGCTGGAACTCTGTTCTGGGTGTTCTATGAGAAAAATAGCCCTGCATAAATGCCCTTCTATGGGGATTAATGGATTCTAATATAGATCTCTCACAATACCTTGTCACATTTGAGAGAACCTATAGTTTATTTCAGTTCCATTTTTCTACATGTCACTATTATCCCCATTCTGATTTCTAAAGAACTCGGTCCCTCATTTTCATCCGAAACAATTTCTTTGCTTCAATGTTTGGTTGAAATGAGCTTGAAAATAAAGAGGGGCATACTAAATAGTCAAACTGGCGGGAAGAAAAAAAATCATACAAAGCAGTGTCAAGAAAAGAATCAAGGATATGGGTTGCTGAAATACAGCAGAGCTGAACTTGAAGTCCTTTCATACTTCAGTTTGCCAAATAAGTTCTAAGATCTGTACACCTGTTGTGAATATATCTTTATCTGGATCTTTTCCTTTTCAGATCTGTAAATCAGAGAAAGTACACTGGAATAGACAGTGTGTGCTGCTATCGTAAAGTTGCTGCAGCCCCACCTTTCGATCCAATCAATATATATCAGAAATTCATAAATGAGACCAACCATTTCACCAAGATGGGGAGGTACAACCTGGATCCAAACAGCCTTTTTGTTAATGGTAAGAAGCATTAGGTTTGCTTTCGTGACTAAAAACCTTTGAGGCTGTTCAGCACTGAATAGGTTTTCACCAACATTATCTAACTTAAATAGTAGTGTGTTTCAGTGACAGCAATGAGAGATGCCAGTGGGCTACATTTTTTTTCTATGTCTACCGTATTTGGGTTATAAAAATCTGGATGATCACTAGATGGCAGCAGTGCTTATTTGCACCTCATGGTCATTTGGAATTGTATAGTCCAGAGCTGGTAACTCTGTTCTAGATTTACTTTTCTCTGAGAATGCCTAAGGACTTTCTACAAGCACACGTTGGGCTAGATGGACACTTTATATTGAACTATTGTTACTCTATTAGAAAGCAGGTAATTGCCACCCAAAGAGGATTATCACATCACATAATTTCTGTACAGAATTCCTTGAATATTGAAATTGCTTGCTGTACTTTATAGCAATAGTCACAATCTTGAGATACCCATTCATGTTTAGGATGGACTTGGCCTAATGTGTGAAGCAATTAAATTAAGCTGAGTCATGGATTCCAGCTGTGATACACAATCTAAGATGTCCAACTTTGTCACAAATATACCAATTGCGGAGCAAGTAAAGCAATATGCCCTAGAGGCTTTTGCCACAAACGATGTGTAGAAACCACAGGGACGTAGAGGCAGGTTAAATATTGAGAAGATTTTCCAGACAGCAAAAGATGTCAACCAGTGCACCATGTCAATTCCCAAGATAGTGTGTTCGGTAGATATCTTCAAACAGAGACTGGATACTGATTTCTGATATTCCAACGTCTGATTTTGACCATTAGGAACAGTTCTGTAACTGAACAAGAATTTGCCTTGTGAATTTATTCCACATCTTGGGACTTTACAGAACAGCCCACTTTCTTTTGTATAGTATCCCGTTACATTCTTGACAAATACTACCGTAGTCCTGCAAAGTCCTCTGTTCTCAAGACTTCACCCATCAATCTTTCTTTTGCACAATTTGATTTTCAGCCCTTGCTCGTCCTTCTTGCCCTTTTCCGGACCCATAACAGACTGAGTATAACAGTTACTTTCAAACTGTAAAAAGTATATGCTTGTTTTCAAACTTCTGTAATGCACCACTGAACCCATTGTTCATGACAGGAACTACAAGATACAAAACAGTGATTATATACTATCAGTTCTGGTTTCCATATCTGACATCCATTATTCCTCTTCCAGCTGTTTCTCCCACTTCCAAACCTCCAATGGCGATGGAATGCTTTACAGTCAACTTCATTGCAACCAATGTGATCTATTGGCCGCAGATAGATAATCCCATATCAAGGCTGTTCAATTCACAACAAAGAGTCATCAGTAAATTGGTGAGGAGGCAAAGCATACTTATCCAAGTAGCACTTCTACATTAGTTTTTCATAAAATAGTCAGCAATAGTGTTTTACTACCAGCAATAAATACATAGTTTTTCCTTTAAACCTAGCTGGGACAGATATTGAACACCAACAACATTGGTCCTGAATTGATCAACTGTAGTATATCAACGTTAAGGTAAGTAATATGGGATGGAGATTTTTTTTGTGCTATCTAAATGCCCTGTTATGGGGATGACTTCTCACAATATTCACAGTATTTGAGAGAACCCATAGTTTGTTTCAGTTTCAGTCTGTAGCATATCACATTTATATGCCTACCCTACAAGATTCCATCCAAAAAAGATGCAGGAACTCTGTTCTGGGCGTTCTATGAGGAAAAAAGCCCTGCGTAAATGCCCTTCTATGGGGATTAATGGATTCAAATATAGATCTTTCACAATACCTTGTCATATTTGAGAGAACTTATAGTTTATTTCACTTCCATTTTTCTACGTGTCACTATTATCCCCATTCTGATTTCTAAAGAACTCGGTCCCTCATTTTCAACGGAAACAATTTCTTTGCTTCAATGAAATGAGCTTGAAAATAAAGAGGGGCATACTAAATAGTCAAACTGGCGGGAAGAAAAAAAATGATACAAAGCAGTGTATTGACATTTGAGAGAACTTATAGTTTATTTCAGTTCCATTTGTAGTAATCAGTGCTCAGTCATTGCAGGGTGCAAATAATGGCAGCTGGCACATAGCATTTTATTGTTTATATACAGTTCTAGAAGCAGCAAAAGTTCTACCTGGCAATAGCATTTCATTGGCTAAACTCCTTACTAATCCTCAAGAATATAGAAGCCAGAGGCCCAAAACAGGGAGCAATTTGGCAATAACATCTTGTTGGTGTGAGCTAGCTGATGTCAGGCAGTCAAGGTCATACAAGCCTGCGCACTTTCATATCGCCATGGTGATGTGAAGGGAGGAGATAGATCTAGAGAAGAAGAGGCACACGGGCTTTGGAGGGGCAGTTTTCTGCAGACGACCTCCGCCTGGCCCCCACCTCTACATCCATTTTTCTACATGTCACTATTATCCCCATTCTAATTTCTAAAGAACTCGGTCCCTCATTTTCATCCGAAACAATTTCTTTGCTTCAATGTTTGGTTGAAATGAGCTTGAAAATAAAGAGGGGCATACTAAATAGTCAAACTGGCGGGAAGAAAAAACATGATACAAAGCAGTGTCAAGAAAAGAATCAAGGATACAGGTTGCTGAAATGCAGCAGAGCTGAACTTGAAGTCCTTTCATACTTCAGATTGCCAGGTAAGTTCCAAGATCTGTACACCTGTACACCTTCTTTTTTTCTCAGACCTGTAAATCAGGGAGAGTACACTGGAGTAGATAGTGTGTGCTGCTATCGTAAAGCCGCTACAACCCCCCCTTTCGATCCAATCAATATATATCAGAAATTCGTAAATGAGACCAACCATTTCACCAAGATGGGAAGGTACAACCTGGATCCAAACAGCCTTTTTGTTAATGGTAAGAAGCATTAGATTTGCCTTCGTGACTAAAAACCTTTGAGGCTGTCCAGCACTGAATAGGTTTTCACCAACATTATCTAACTTAAATAATATCTTGTCTCATTGACAGCAATAAGAGATTCCAGTGGGCCACATTTTTTTTTCTATGTCTACCGTATTTGGCTTATAAAAATCTGGATGATCACTAGTTGGCAGAAGTGCTTATTTGCACCTCATGGTCATTTGGAATTTTGTAGTCCAGAGCCATTAACTCTGTTCTAGATTTACTTTTCTCTGAGCAAACATTGGGCTAGATGGATACTTTATATTGAGCTATTGTTACTCTATTAGAAGCAGGTAATTGCCACCCAAAGAGGATTATCACATCACATAATTTTTATACAGAATTCCTTAGAATATTGAAATTGCTTGCTGTACTTTATAGCAATAGTCACAATCTTGAGATACCCATTCATGTTTAGGATGGACCTGGCCTAATGTGTCAAGCAATTAAATTAAGTTGAGTCATGGATTCCAGCTGTGGTACACAATCTAAGATGTCCAACTTTGTCACAAATATACCAATTGCGGAGCAAGTAAAGCAGTATGCCCTAGAATCTTTTGCCACAAACGATGTGTAGAAACCACAGGGACGTAGAGGAAGGTTAAATATTGAGAAGATTTTCCAGACAGTAAAAGGTGTCAACCAGTACACCATGTCAATTCCCAAGATAGTGTGTTCGGTAGATATTTTCAAACAGAGACAGGATACTGATTTCTGATTTTCCAACATCTGATTTTGACCGTTAGGAACAGTTCTGTAACTCTGAACAAGAATCTGCCTTGTGAATTTATTCCACATCTTGGGACTTTACAGAACAGCCCACTCCCTTTTGTATAGTATCCCGTTACATTCTTGACAAATGCTACCATAGTTCTGCAAAGTCCTCTGTTCTCAAGACTTCACCCATCAATCTTTCTTTTGCACAATTTGATTTTCAGCCCTTGCTCGTCCTTCTTGCCCTTTTCTGGACCCACAACAGACTGAGAATAACAGTTACTTTCAAACTGTGAAAAGCATATCCTTGTTTTCAAACTTCTGTAATGCACCACTGAACTCATTGTTCATGACAGGAACTACAAGATACAAAACAGTGATTATATACAGTACTATCAGTTCTGGTTTCCATATCTGACATCCATTATTCCTCTTCCAGCTGTTTCTCCCACTTCCAAACCTCCAATGGCAACGGAATGCTTTACAGTTAACTTCATTGCAACCAATATGATCTATACCCCACAGATGGCTAATCCCACATCAATGATTTTCAGCTCAACACAACAATTGGTTGTTAATTCGGTAAGAAGACCAATGCATCCAATAGCTCTTCTGCACAGGACTTTCATAACATAATCAGCAATAGTGTTTTAGTATTGGCAATAATTACATAATTTTTTTCTTTATGCCTAGCTGAGTCAGATATTGAACACCAGCAACATTGGTCCTGAGTTGATCAACTGTAGTTTATCAACGTTAAGGTAAGTAATATGGGATGGAGATTTTTTTCGTGTTATCTAAATGCCCTGTTATGGGGATGACTTCTCACAACATTTAAAGTATTTAAGAGAACCCATAGTTTGTTTCAGTTTCAGTCTGTAACACATCACATTTATATAAAAATCTCTAAAAGATTCCTTTCCACATCTTCATCCCAAAACATTTCTTTGCTTCAGTATTCATTTCCTACCACTGTGTTGGAGGTTCCATGGTTAGCTTCCTCCATGCTTTCCCAAAATCAGGTTTGAAGTGGAATTTAAAATTTAAAAACACCAGATTAAAAATACTGTTTGAAAAGTTCCAAACCTTACCTCTGTGAAACCATCCAAAGTCTTCTACAGCTTCTCTGAATTTGTCTCAAGTTGTGTCTTTTCATTCTCAGATTTGTGAATCAGGGCAAGAACACCGGAGTAGACAGTGTCTGTTGCTATGGTAAAACTGCTACAGCTCCCCCTTTTAATCGAATGAACATATATCGCAAATTCATATATGAGACCAACGGTTTCACCAAGATGGAGAGGTACAGCCTGGACCCAAACAGCCTTTTTGTTAATGGTAAGAAGCAGAGATTGCTTTCATGACTAAAGAGGCTATGAGATTGGCCACCATTTAATCGGTTCTGACCAGTGTTACCAGTAAGTATATAGGAGGAATTTATCGTATCTTTTTTTTCTCATGGTGGAGAGCTTGAAAGCGACTTCCCATATCATTGTTCTTTTATGCCTTCTTTTGTGACTCTCTTTACATTTTTACAACTCTGTTTCCATTTCAGATTATCATGAAGCATCACCTGCGACCAGTAAGTACACTTTTACAGAGGTTTCTTGAGCCATGGAATCCAACAGTGGTACACAATCTAAGATGTCCATCTTTGTCACAAATATACCGATTGCAGAGCAAGTAAAGAAGTATGCCTTAGTGGTTTTTGCCACAAACAATGGGTGGAAACCACAGGGATGTAGAGGCAGGTTAAATATTGAGAAGATTTTCCAGACAGTAAAAGGTGTCAACTAGTGCACCATGTCAATTCACAAGATGGTCTATTCAATTGAGACAGAGAGTGGATACTGATTTCTGATATTCCAACTCTGATTATGACCATTAGGAACAGTTCTGTAACTCTGAACAAGAATCTAGCTTGTGAATTTATTCTGCATCTGGGACAGCCCATGCCCTTCTGTACAGTATCCCATTACATTCTTGAAAAGCGCTACCATCGTCCTATAAAGTCCTCTGTTCTCAAGGCTTAACCCATCAATCTTTGTTTTGCACAACTTGGTTTCCAGCCCCTGCTCGTCCTTCTTGCCCTTTTCTGGACCCACAACAGATCGAGAATAATAGTTACTTTAAAACTGTGAAAAGCATATGCTTGTTCTTAAACTTCTGTAATGCCCCACTGAACCCCCTGATTTAATGAAAGGAACTGCAGAATACAAAATAGTGATTGATGGATTGATTATAGACTATCAACTCTGGTTCCCATATCTGAGATTCACTGTCTCTCTTCTAGCTCTTTCTCCCACCTCCAGACCTCCAGGCGCAACTGAATGCTTTACGGTCAATTTCATTGCAACCAATTTGATCTATAGACCACAGATGGCTAATCCCACATCAAGGCTTTTCAGCTCAACACAACGATTCTTGATTAATTTGGTAAGAAGACCAATACATCCAATAGCTGTTCTACATAGGATTTTCATAATATAGTCAGCAATAGTGTTTTAGTATTGGCAACAATTACATATTTTTTTTTCTTTATACCTAGCTGGGAGATATATTGAAAAACAGTGACATTGGTCGTGATTTGATCAACTGCCGTTTATCAACGTTAAGGTAAGCAATATGGGTTGGGCATTTTTTAGAGATCCGTAAATGCCCTTCTATGGGGATTAATGGCTTCTAATATAGATCTCTCACAATACCTTGTCACATTTGAGAGAACCTATAGTTTATTTCAGTTCCATTTTTCTACAAGTCACTATTATCCCCATTCTGATTTCTAAAGAACTCGGTCCCTCATTTTCATCTGAAACAATTTCTTTGCTTCAATGTTTGGTTGAAATGAGCTTGAAAATAAAGAGGGGCATACTAAATAGTCAAACTGGTGGGAAGAAAAAAAAATGATACAAAGCAGTGTCAAGAAAAGAATCAAGGATATAGGTTGCTGAAATACAGCGGAGCTGAACTTGAAGTCCTTTCATACTTCAGATTGCCAGGTAAGTTCCAAGATCTGTACACCTGTTGTGAATTTATCTTTATTTGGACCTTTTTTTCTCAGACCTGTAAATCAGGGAGAGTACACTGGAGTAGACAGTGTGTGCTGCTATCGTAAAGTCGCTGCAGCCCCGCCTTTCGATCCAATTAATATATATCAGAAATTCGTAAATGAGACCAACCATTTCACCAAGATGGGGAGGTACAACCTGGATCCAAACAGCCTTTTTGTTAATGGTAAGAAGCATTAGGTTTACTTTCGTGACTAAAAATATTTGAGGCTGTCCAGCACTGAATAGGTTTTCACCAACATTATCTAACTTAAATAGTAGTGTGTTTCAGTGACAGCAATGAGAGATGCCAGTGGGCTACATTTTTTTTCTATGTCTACCGTATTTGGCTTATAAAAATCTGGATGATCACTAGATGGCAGCAGTGCTTATTTGCACCTCATGGTCATTTGGAATTTTGTAGTCCAGAGCTGGTAACTCTGTTCTAGATTTACTTTTCTCTGAGAATGCCTAAGGACTTTCTACAAGCACACGTTGGGCTAGATGGACACTTTATATTGAACTATTGTTACTCTATTAGAAGCAGGTAATTGCCACCCAAAGAGGATTATCACATCACATAATTTCTATACACAATTCCTTAGAATATTGAAATTGCTTGCTGTACTTTATAGCAATAGTCACAATCTTGAGATACCCATTTATGTTTAGGATGGACTTGGCCTAATGTGTGAAGCAATTAAATTAAGCTGAATCATGGATTCCAGCTGTGGTACACAATCTAAGATGTCCAACTTTGTCACAAATATACCAATTGCGGAGCAAGTAAAGCAATATGCCCTAGAGACTTTTGCCACAAACGATGTATAGAAACCACAGGGACATAGAAGCAGGTTAAATATTGAGAAGATTTTCCAGACAGCAAAAGATGTCAACCAGTGCACCATGTCAATTCCCAAGATAGTGTGTTCAGTAGATATCTTCAAACAGAGACGGGATACTGATTTCTGATTTTCCAACATCTGATTTTGACCATTAGAAACAGTTCTGTAACTCTGAACAAGAATCTGCCTTGTGAATTTATTTCACATCTTTGGACTTTTTACAGAACAGCCCACTCCTTTTTGTATAGTATCCCGTTACATTCATGACAAGTGCTACTATAGTTCTGCAAAGTCCTCTGTTCTCAAGACTTCACCCATCAATCTTTCTTTTGCACAATTTGATTTTCAGCCCTCGTCCTTCTTGCCCTTTTCTGGACCCACAACAAACTGAGAATAACAGTTACTTTCAAACTGTGAAAAGCATATGCTTGTTTTTAAACTTCTGTAATGCACCACTGAACCCATTGTTCATGACAGGAACTACAAGATACAAAACAGTGATTATATACTATCAGTTCTGGTTTCCATATCTGACATCCATTATTCCTCTTCCAGCTGTTTCTCCCACTTCCAAACCTCCAATGGCAACTGAATGCTTTACGGTCAACTTCATTGCAACCAATATGATCTATAGGCCGCAGATGGCTAATCCCACATCAAGGCTGTTCAACTCAACACAAAGAGTCATCAGTAAATTGGTGAGGAGACAAAGCATACTTATCCAAGTAGCACTTCTACATTAGTTTTTCATAAAATTGTCAGCAGTAGTGTTTTACTTCCAGCAATAAATACATAGATTTTCCTTTAAACCTAGCTGGGACAGATATTGAACACCAACAACATTGGTCCTGAATTGATCAACTGTAGTATATCAACGTTAAGGTAAGTAATATGGGATGGAGATTTTTTTCGTGCTATCTAAATGCCTTGTTATGGGGATGACTTCTCACAACATTTACAGTATTTGAGAGAACCCATAGTTTGTTTCAGTTTCAGTCTGTAACACATCACATTTATATGCCTACCCTACAAGTTTCCATCCAAAAAAGGTGCCGGAACTCCGTTCTGGGTGTTCTATGAGGAAAAAAGCCCTGCATAAATGCCCTTCTATGGGGATTAATGGATTCTAATATAGATCTCTCGCAATACCTTGTCACATTTGAGAGAACCTATAGTTTATTTCAGTTCCATTTTTCTACATTTCACTATTATCCCCATTCTGATTTCTAAAGAATCCTGTCCCTCATTTTCATCCGAAACAATTTCTTTGTTTCAATGTTTGATTGAAATGAGCTTGAAATAAAGAGGGGCATAGTAAATAGTCAAACTGGCAGGAAGAAAAAAAATGATACAAAGCAGTGTCAAGAAAAGAATCAAGGATATAGGTTGCTGAAATACAGTAGAGCTGAACCTGAAGTCCTTTTATACTTCAGATTGCCAGGTAAGTTCCAAGATCTATACACCTGTTGTGAATATATCTTTATTTGGATCTTTTCTTTCTCAGGCTTGTAAATCAGGGAGAGTACACTGGAGTAGACAGTGTGTGCTGCTATCGTAAAGTCGCTACAGCCCCGCCTTTCGATCCAATCAATATATATCAGAAATTTGTAAATGAGACCAACCATTTCACCAAGATGGGGAGGTACAACCTGGATCCAAACAGCCTTTTTGTTAATGGTAAGAAGCATTAGGTTTACTTTCGTGACTAAAAACCTTTGAGGCTGTTCAACAATGAATAGGTTTTCACCAACATTATCTAACGTAAATAGTAGTGTGTTTGAGTGACAGCAATGAGAGATGCCAGTGGGCTACATTTTTTTCTATGTCTACCGTATTTGGGTTATAAAAATCTGGATGATCACTAGATGGCAGCAGTGCTTATTTGCACCTCATGGTCATTTGGAATTTTGTAGTCCAGAGGTGGTAACTCTGTTCTAGATTTACTTTTCTCTAGGAATGTCCCAGCACACATTGGCTAGAGTTAGATGGACACTTTATATTGAAATATTGTTACTCTATTAGAAAGCAAGTAATTGTCACCCAAAGAGGATTATCACATCACATAATTTTTATACAGAATTCCTTAGAATATTGAAATTGCTTGGTGTACTTTATAGAAATAGTCACAATCTTGAGATACCCATTCATGTTTAAGATGGACCTGGCTTAATATGTCATGCAATTAAAAATGGCGGCATGATGTGTGAACACTCAAACCTTTCTTAAGAAATGATAAATTTTATCAGATGGGAAAAAGTTGATGATTTTGACGAAAGAATGGATGGAAGATTGATGTTGCTAAGAGAATGTAGACCTTTTTGGGTTTAAGTGCAAGAACCATTTTATAGAAGAGAAATGATATGTGGTTCATTTATTGTGATGTACTAAAATTTTTATAAGGGGATTGTAAAATGAAATCAAGGGAAGATTGAACAAAATATTCTTGTCAATGTTTTTCTTATGTACACTTATCAGAAAGTTTTAGTGGATAAAAGATTTTGTGATTTTGAACAATATGAGACTGAGTTTGAAATATAACTATGTACTAATGATGAACATGTTATTGCTAAGATCTACAAACCTCTCATGAAATATCAGAAGAACACATGAAAGAATGTATGATAAAATGGGCTAAAATTTTTGGCTACAATATACAAATGAATCAATGGGAAAATATGTAGCTAAAAGACTGAAATTTAGATTATGTTGTAATCTCAAAGAGAATTTTTATAAAATAATGTACATTGCTATCTGTCAGCAGAAAAACTGTTTAGAATGTATAAAGGCACTTTGAATGTTTGCTGGAAATGTGAGCAACATGAAAAGACATTTTAATCACGATTTGGTGGACGTGTAAAAAAGTAAAAACATCTGGATACAAATTCATACTGTACATTAAGAAGATTGTAAAGGTTAAAACTTCAACCTGAGACTTTTCTTTCAGGACCAATGGACAGGCAACTAGAAAAAACTTTGTTTTATATATTGTAGGGTTCTGTAACCAGCACTAGAAAAAGAAACAAATTGTGTAGCCTTGACTAACTATTGCTATCTCGCTTTTGTAATCAGCGTTTGTGTCAGGGACAAATTTCATGCAAGCTTGGGAAACATGTACACAGATGTGATATACTGAAGGAGGGAATGAGGGAGTGTATAGGAATGATTGATGTCTTCTTTATATGGTAATAACTCTGTTGTCTAATGTTGATTGGTTGACAAAGTTTATAAAGCAATGCTACTAACTTTCCAAGGTGTGGCACTTCTGAATGTAACTGCCAGCATTCCATATTGTTTGCCACCCAGCTGTTTTACTTGATCAAATAAAGTACTGTTTCCTCAAGAAGCCTCTGTTTGAGTTGCTTGATTAGATTTTTATGGTAACTCAGATTTAAGTAAGGGCCAGTGACCTTACATTTCTGGTGCCCGAACAGGGACATTGAAGGTTGTGTTTCTTCAAGATGGTTTCTCATTGAAACTCCCTATCAATGAATCCTATTGTGACTCAGCAACTTTCAGGTGTAACAACCAGGAAAACCGGCATGGGCTAGCTAGGAGGTCAAGAGCGCTCTCAGACTCTTTGTGTCTGATGACCTCAAACTAATCAGGGCTGTCAGAACCATGATTGTCTGAACACTGAAGGTTTAAGGTGGCTTCCATCTCATCCCAGTGAGGATAGGAGGAGATGAGAATACAGGAGGAATTTGGTAAGTAGAAACAAACATTCCAGAATGAGGAGGAGGTTGGGGCAGTGAGTGAGTGTGTGTGCACCTGAAATGCCTGGAATGCAGGGATTTAATTGCCTGCAAAAATGGATGACTGTTAAGGAAATCTCCTGTAGGGATTGCTGCATAAGAGAGGGCGTGGCCAGGCCCCAATTCTGAAGGAAAGGAACCAAGAAAGGAACCTTACTTCCCAAGAAAATCTCTTGGGAATCGATCATTTGCACTGAGCAAATGAACCAGTATTTAGGAAAGAGGAGGAGCTGTATTTCTACTAAGCTGTGTGTTAGCCCATTGGAATGCACTGAAATTGTGGCAGTAAAAATAATTTTCAAGAAAGCACAGTTGAAAAACTTTATGCATCTCCATTTGGCTAGCTTATCTTTTTAACAACTTCAGCCATGGAAGAAAAGAAAGAAATGAAAAATCAAAGAACTGTTTGTAAGGTTTTTTTCCTTTATTCTGGCTCTTTGGACGGATAATTTTTTTCTGTTAGACAATGGCACTGTCAACTTTAGAATGAGCATGGCTGCAGCCATTTTTTCCTTCTCATTTCTAGTTGACACATAGCACAGAGAAAGGGGGGATTGCCAGGTGTTGTGTTAGACAAAACAGACTTTCTCTCTCAGACGTTCTCTCATGGGAACCAAAGTCATTGGCTACTCCCAAGACTATAGGCTGGGTGTTTCGTGAAAAGCTCACCAACAAGCTCTATGGGAAAACGTAGTTGCTTGCATAGCCTTAGGGGTGGGATTTCTTAACTTTGTATGGGGGAATTGTTATGCATCGCTTCAGACTTGGTTTCACTTTTGAAGTGCCAATACTTTGTATCAATAAGCATGTTCTTTGAGGAATTTGCAGGCCTTGGAGTTCTGCTTTATTTGTCTCTGTCTATCGGAACCATGACAGGAGCCATCTACTGTCCTCGTAAACTATCCCTATTGTCAGACAGGAAGAGATAAAGCTACTCTCTGCAGTTTTCCTCTCCCTGTTCAGGCCAACAAAGGACCCCAAATTCAACATTCCTTTTTGGTCCTTCCCCAGTGTCCTTTGAATTTGCTGGGGTGGGATCTGCTGGGAAGATTGGGAGCAACCATCGAACGTCCCCCTGATGGACTAAATTAAAAAGGGAGGCCTGCTTTGGCTTCAAACCCCAAATTGATGTGTTTCTGAAATATTTGGCCATCCAGAACATTAAGCTTGGAGTTGGAGGGAGGGAGGGAAGGAAGGAAGGAAGGAGATTATAATAAGAGGGAGGAATGGTCTGAGGGAAGTCTTGCCTTAGCACTTGGCCACAACCAGCCCTGCTGCTCTTTTGCCATCCCTTTGTCCCCTCCACCTGACTCTACTGGTGGTCTCCCATCCTATCACTGAGGATGCTTTGATTACAAATCCGGGTCTCCTCGCATGGAGTCGGAGTGGGCCTCCCTCTGACCCACAAATTTTGCCCTCCCATACATACCATGAGCAACCTTACCACCTCAAGGAGGTAAGCGCAGCCAGGTGCCCCTTGGCTGGGCTGGGCTGGGCACTTGCCCTCCACTGCCTAGGGCTCTGGGCAGCCTGCACCTCTACATGACCTAAGAGGGATAGCAAGGCTCTTCTCATGGACAAGGGTTTGGTGCTTGCCCTGGTCTCGCCTTCCTCCGCTGGAGACAATAGATCCCCCCACCCCCACCTGGGCCACCACAGGGCCCCCCAACATGAGCAACATCGAGCTGTCCACACACACCCTGGCCACGCCCACACCCATCCCAGCCACACCCATCCCGGCTAAGCACTAGTGGTATTTGAATACTGTCATGTCCTAAAAGTGGTACAACCTGTGAAAAGGTTGAAAAGCCCTGCTCTAGGTGAGGGATTGTTTTTGCAGCATACTAGGAAACTATTTATCAATGTTGCGTTAATCTTTATGATGAAGGTGGAATGTTAATCACTTCACTTACCTGGCTATGGTTGAAGAAACCTACAAGTAATAAAATAAAAATAAGAAAGTATTTCCCAACTCACATTCTCCAAGCACTTTGGGCTTTTAACTTCCAGAATTCCAATCCAGCATGTCTGTAAAGGACCAAGAGTCCTCTTTCCCTTTCTTACCCACCTTTCCAAGTAAAATAGAGCAGATGCGGCAGGGAAGACATCAAAATAGCACTCCCGAATTTTTACATTTCTTCAGACTTTTCGAGTATGATACAATTTAGAGCTACTGAAAATAAAGGAGAATTTCATTCCTTACCTCTTTCCTGTACACAGGCCGTTGCTTTCCATTCACTTACCCATTAGCTAGCATCGGATAGCTGGGCCTAATTACAAAAACTTTATCAGGAGCTCCCGCTAAGTTCCCTGGAACTTGGGAGAGAGAGAGAAAGTTTAGTATCATCTGCAAATTTGATGAGTTCCCTTTTTATTCCCTCATCTAAGTCATTTATGAAGATATTGAAGAGTACTGGGCCTAAGGCAGAACCTTGTTGTACCCCCACTGCTTACTGACAGATGTAGTACCTGTAAGCACGTCCTAACTACAGGCACAAAACCCATATCCAGGAACGATGCAGGATTCAACGAAGCAGTACGATTTATTTCGTTACTAAGTTGAAAAGAAAGTCAGCTCTGAAGAACATTTCATTCCCGCGCTCTAAATAAACCCCACCACCACACCCATAGTCCACGCCCTAATTATCAATCACCACTCCGCCCACACCACGCCCTCATGTCTGTCAGACCCAGTATCTTGGTTTCCCGAAAACAGTAAAGCAGTCCAGAACAATCTCCATACGCGTATCTCCGCAAAACACCATCAGCTGGGTGTCGGCAGTCCGCTGGTAGTAGCGCCGGCCAATCCGAATCGTAGACGCGTGCTAGGCAATCATCAAATGAGCGTCGGCAGTCCGTGGGAAGTAGTGCCGACCAGTATACTCCCTAAGCGCGCGTCGCCGGCAAATCGTCATCAGCTGAGCGTCGGCAGCGCGTTGGAACCGGCGCCGACCAGCTGGCTCGCGGTATTACCGGGAGCGCTTAGCAGCGTGGTCGGTAAGTTGTGCTCTGGGTCTGACATTCGGCCTCCCCTCACCACAGGACCCCCTGGAATAAAACATCACAGGTTAAAGTATCATTGGGATATTGGTATCCGTACATTATTCACCTCCCCCACTAGGCCTCGGCTTATGTGGCCATATTTTATGGTATCTCCGGAGCAGCCTCGGGGCGAAGACCTGTTCACTCTGCACCCATGAAGCATCGGACAAGGGATATCCCTTCCATAATATCAGGTAGTATAGCTCACCCCCCCGCCATCGTGAATCTACTATATCCTGTATTTCATACTGTCCCGGCGCTACAGGCCCAGGAGGATCCGTATGATTGCCTCTTCCTACCGGCTTTAACAAACTCACGTGGAAGACTGGATGTATTTTGCCAAGGAAGGCCGGCAGTTGTAGTTGTACCGTAACAGGATTAATGATGCGTATTATGCGCAACGGTTCAACGTATTTCGGCGCCAGCTTCTTGCAGGGTATTTGTAACTTAAGGTATTTGGTCGAGAGATACACCTGGTCACCTATTCGGAATTGGGTAGATCTTCTGCGACCCTTGTCAGCTTGTTCCTTTGCTATCTGTCCCGCCTGTGTCAGCGCTTTCTTTACTGTATACCACACTTGGCTGGCACGGGACATCCAATCTCCTGGTTTCTGGACCAGGGACGTCAATGACTCCCAACTTGATAAGGGATTCAGATCGTAACCATATACTACTTGGAAGGGAGTCAACCCGGTACTCTTATGCACTGCGTTGTTGTAGGCTAGTTCGGCAAAAGGTATATACTCCATCCAATCCGCCTGTTGGTGAGAAACATAGCAACGGAGATATCGTGTAACGGCTGCATTAGCTCGTTCCGCCGCCCCATTGGTACATGGATGGTATGCGGAGCTCAACCCTTGTTTGGTTCCAAGACAGGCTAGAAAGCGACGCCAGAATCGAGCCGTGAATTGTACTCCACGATCTGAGATAATTCGTCGGGGAGCTCCATGTAATCGATAAATGTGTTGTATAAATAGTTTCGCTAGTTGTGTTGCCGACGGTAGCCCTTTGCAGGGTATAAAATGGGCCTGTTTAGAAAATAAATCTATTACTGTCCATATAACTGTGTAACCTTTTATGTTTGGTAACTCCACAAGGAAATCCATGCCAATGTCTTGCCATGGCCTTACCGGATCAGACACAGATTGTAACATCCCCATTGGCTTTTTAGGTATTACCTTCGCCTGTGCACAAACTCTACATTCTTTTACGTATGTTTCGATATCTTTTCTTAAGCTTGGCCACCAGAAGCGCCGTCTCGCTAGATGCAATGTTTTTACGAAACCAAAGTGACCTGCTACCTTGGAGTCATGACATTGCTGATATACCCGACTCCGCAGTTCCTGAGGGATATATAACTTATCCCCATACCAGGCCAAACCATTGCGGTGGGTCAATATACCGGGATTTGCAGATATCCAGGGATCAGTTGCTAAAGCTGTTTTTATTTCCTCCTCAAAAGTTACTAGTTTTGTGCAGACTTCTGTCTTTTCGGATTCCCTACCACAATGGGGTATGACAGCTTGAATCACCTGTTCTCTCTTGCTAT